ACACACACACACACACACACACACACACACATATATATATATATATATATATATATTATAATATTATAAAAATATAAGGGTTGAATTTTAAAATTGCAAAATTCTAGGGTTTAGAATTTAAATATTCAAAATTAAAACTTTTAATTAAAAATTTAAATCCCAAAACTAAAGGGCAAGTTTTGAAACTTTTCAAAACATCTTTTACATAAAATTTGAAAATGATTAAATAACCATATTATTAATCTTTATCACATAATTTGGCCTAATTTATTTTCTTACCAAGATAATTCAAATCAAAATACAAATAAGTAATCTTTATCATATAAAACAAGTAATTATCTTATTTATGACAATTATATTTCAATTACATTAGGATAATCAATACCATATTGTAAAAATCGAATTTTTTCAGTCAACAACGTTTTTGGCAATTATCCTAATTAAATTTTAGTCAAAATCCCGAAAAATCAGCCATCTGACAACCCGACTCGCCGAGTCACTGACTGGACTCGTCGAGTTGCCCTGACTCGTCGAGTTCATCAGGTGACTCGACGAGTTCATCATGCAGAGGCACAAAACTATTCATCTTTAAACAAATTAACAATTCATCAAATACAATAGAAAAATGACATAGGCTCTGATATCACTGTTGGGTTATGAGCAAAGCATCAATCCTATGGTGCACATTCAAACCCTAAAGCTTTGGTTATAGGTTTTTCTAATTGTACATGCAATAATCATCCAAATCTTGTAAACCCTAGATCTAGCATATGAAAATTGAAAAACACATTTAATTAACAAGTTAGAATGTTACCTTTGATTGTAGCTTGATGATCTTGAGCTTATGAGAACCTAGCACCTCAAATGTGATGCCTCTAGTGAATCACAAATGCCAAAGCAATTAGAGAATCTTAGAGAGAGAGGGAGGAGGCTAATTTTGGCTCTTAGGAATCCTTCCGGGTTTGTGGTAGCCGAAATTTTGATGCCTAAGGGTTCTATATATAGGTGAGGGATTAGAGTTTCAGTTAAATAACTAATCTGGTTGCTTAAGCCCTAAGCGGCCCATAGGAACATTTCAGAACCCTAGCCTTGGACAATATCTTATAGACTATCCATAAGAATTAGTCCACCCCTATCTTTAGGGATCCTCAGCCTATTTTCCAACTATCTCATAATTACAACTTCAGTCCCCTTAATTCAATTAACCTCTTTTGACCACAAAATTAGCTCTAAAATAATTCTTGACTAATGTTATTTAAATAACATGATTTGTTTTTTAATATATTATTCATATAATATATTAATAAACCATAATAAACTCTTTCTCCATTATTCATCCAGTCAAGTTTCTTTGGTGAAGGCAACCCAAAAGGACCATGCTATCATCGGGTCAAGTACATACCAAATATAGTTATGGCTTAGACACCTAATCCAACACTAATTTGTCTCAGGCATAAACTTCATTATTTTTTGGTGTATTAGTCTGAAAGAAGGATCAATATTAATTTTATGATTTATAATATTTTTGTCTATATCTTTCATATCCTCATGCTTCTAGGAAAATGTTTTGCTTCTATCTTTTAGGAACTTTATTAGTTCTTGTTTGATCTATTCTAGTATTGAGGATCCTATGAGGACTTTGGCTTCAGGATCCTCGAGGTTCAGGCACACCTCCTTTATATCCTGCTCACTTGTTTCTAGAAAACCTCGTGCCTCCTGCTTTAACTGATATGCTTCTAGTGGTACCATTGAAGATTTCATCAAGGTCTTGTAGCACTCCTTGGATTCTTGTTGATCACCTATGATCTTTACTATCCCCCGTTGAGTGGACATTTTAACATATTCATGGTATGTTGAGGGGAAAACCTTCATGTCATGGATCCATGGTCTACCTGGTATAACATTATAGCGGGTTAATGTATCAATTACATAGAAGTGCTACATAGAGTTTATCCCCTCTATGTTGATAAATAGCTTTATCTTGTAGCACTCATTCAAATCCTGGTCTCTTGTTTCTAGAAAACCTTGTGCCTCCTGCTTTAATTGTTATGCTTGTAGTGGTAGCACTGAAGATTTCATCAAGGTCTTGTAGCACTCCTTGGATTCTTGTTGATCACCTATGATCTTTACTATCCCCCGTTGAGTGGACATCTTAACATATTGATGGTATGTTGAGGGGACAACCTTCATGTCGTAGATCCATGGTCTACCTAGTATAACATTATAGCGGGGTAATGTATCAATTACACAAAAGTGTTACATAGAGTTTACCCCCACTATGTTGATAGATAGCTTTATCTTGTCGATCGTATGCTTTGTTTCGCCACTGAATCCTATTAGCACTGAGGATCCTTTGACTATTTCGGCTTCTGGTATGTTCATCCTTTTCAAAGCATCCTTGAGTATAATGTTAACTAAGATAATCCATCGACAATGATCATTTTGAAAAAGTGGTTAACGATGTAAATAGTGGTCACCAGTCCATCGTGGTGGGGATCCTGGATGTCGGTTTTATCTGTTTCATCGAAGGTAATTTCCTTCTGGTTCATGATTGATGTATTCTTCTGAGGTCTTTCTTCTTTCTCCATTTTTGACACTTTGGAATGTCTTTTTGCTACAGAATAAGAGGTACCACAAATGTCAGATCCTCCAGAGATCATGTTGATTACATTGTCGTCCGCATGAGGGGATCCTGGTTTCTCTGGGATCTTATGAGGATTCTGATCCTTTTCTTTAGATCTTTCGTTTCTTCTTCCAAGGATATCCTTGAGGTATCCCTTACTAAGTAGGTAACTGATCTTATTTCCGAGGGCTATGCAATCTTCCATAATGTGACCAACGTCCTCATGGTATGCACACCATTTAGACTTATCTTTCTAGGTGGTGGACTTTTCTCCCTTTCTTGGCCATCTTTCTTTGTCTCCAAGATCCTGCATAGCAAATATTAAACCTAAAACATCCATAGAAAAATAGTAGTCAGTGATCTTTGGAAATTCTTTTCCCGAATTTGGTCACTATTTTCATTAGAATAAACATTAGTACAACTTCCACCATCAATAATCAAACTACACCACTTGTCTGTAACTAAACATTTAGGGGCATTGACCCTATGATGATCAGGTTTGGAATAAGGTTTGGATTTATATGATCTTTGGATCGAAGAATTGTTCTTCCTATTGGGGTTGTCATTGGAGTTTGGTGGGTTTTCTTTTTGATATCCTTGTCTTTTTCGAGCCTTATGAACCTTAATGCTCTGTTTCTCACTTCATCCATTCTTTTGCATGGATTCATTACAAGATCTTTGTAAAAAGGAGAGTATTTCTTTAAGCCCATTTTGAAGGATTCTACAGCAGTTGCCATGTCAATGTTAGGGATACTCAGAGCTTCCCTGCCAAACCTATTCACAAAATCCCTGATGGATTCCTTAGGACCCTGAACCACCTGATAGAGATCACTAGTGATCTCTTCGAACGTTCTGCTACAAGAAAATTGGTTTTTAAAAATATTAGCTAAATGTGCAAACGAAGTAATAGATTAAGGAGGAACATTTAGTATCCATTTCAAGGTTGATCCTGTGAGGATCGAGCCAAAACCCTTGCATAGGCAAGCTTCCTTCAAATGTGTGGGAATGGGGTTGATCTCCATTCTTTCCCTGTATTGTATCACATGTTCTTCAAGATCTGTAGTCCCATCGTAAGGCTTCATATTGGGAGTTTGGAAGCGCTTTGGGACTTCGGTATCAACAATCGATGGAGCAAATCTTGAGATCCTATGGCTTGTTGGGAAAACTTCTGATACAGGTTGGACCACCCAATGCACACTTGAGATCATCTTCCTTAACGACTGAAGTTCCTTGACCATATCGGCCTTATTCCTACATCAACATCCATGGAGTTAGCATTAAAAGTATTATTATTTATAGAGTTACCAGGATCTTTGTTATTGGAAGTAACGAAGGTTTCGCTGAGATCCTAGATCATATGAGCTTGTTCCTTTAGACCTGCGCTCTTAGTGGGAGTAGGGGGTGGTGTTGAGGATCCTATCTCACAGTAGATTCCTAAGGATCCTATATTTTCAAAGTTCAGGACCTTAGGTTGCAAGATCAAGGGTGCTACTTCTTAGGGTTTTTGGATCTTCACCCTCATTCTCTCCATTTCCTTGATTATTGTCATGTTGTTTCCTATTGTTTAGTGGCTTGTTGTTCCAGTCTCTTCATCATAGCAAAGAGCTCATTATTGAAAATTAGTATAAGAGGATCCTTATATCCTTGGGTAGAAACCACAGAGGTGTTTTCTTTGGTTCCTTAGAAGTTTTCTTCGGTGCTCTGCCTGGAGGTGGAGGAAGGTTTTTTGAGGAAATAGGAGGAATGGAGGAAGAGGATAAGGTTGGTTGGTAGACATGATGTTTGAACGATTGTGAACACCACGGCCCCATGATAGGTGTCAAATTGTTTTGGTCAAAAAAACGATAAAGTGCAACCTAACCAAATTGTATGAGAGGCTGTGGTGTTAGTGTAATGAAATTGTAGAATAATAATCAAAGTAAGACAAGTGAATTACATATTTTTTAGGATCTCTGGCATAAAATCTTGGGAGATGATAACGATCACCTACCTTGTTGCTTTTTATTAATTTTAATCTGTGATTACAGAGATGATGAAGATGATACGAGTACAAGCGTATTAATAGAGTTAATCGTAAGTGTAGTGTGCGAGTTACATGTGTTATTTATAGTCTAAGCTATATTACAAGAAGTCCGAGATTTTAAGGATCCTCTTTGAACAAGTATTTGCACGTTGTTTGACTTGATATTCCCAGGTCTTAAGCTTGGTTGATGTGACTCTCCATTGAGAATGAGTTTGGTGTTTACTAATTCTACACATGTGAGAAAAAGAAAGTAGAATATAACCGTTATAAGTGTTAGGAAATATTAGTGATAATAATCAAGATCCTGGGATATGTTTAAGGATCCTAAGACTTCAAGATGATTAAGGATCCTGAATGATTCTGGGATCCTACCCTAACAATTGTATTTCTTGGGCTACACCTCCTGAATATTGGACTGATGAAGATTTCGGGATAGCCCTTCCTAACAATTGTGTTGAAGACATTTTTATTGCAAAAAGTGTAAGTGATTGAAAATCTAAGAAAACGTTTTTTGAATAATTTAAGGAAAAAATGTAATAACATCACTTGTCCCACAGATAGCACCAAATTGTTTTGGTCAAAAATTGATAAGCTAATTTTGTAACCAAATTAGTAAGTGTTGTATCATGTTTAAAATAAGATCGATAAAACTTAAAGAGCTTAAGATCTTGAAATATGCTAAAGATTTTGGTCGTGCTACCCAAGATCGTGTGAAGAAAATAGTGATATTCAGGAACTTGTTATAAAAAAGATAAAGTATTTTTGTGTAAATATGCGTATTTAGAATCTTTGGGAAAAAAATAGTGTTAAAGTTGTTTAACAAGTGAATTCGCATAATGAATCTCAATATATTTAAAAAGATACCAATATACCAAAAAAATATCTTATTAGTTTTGATAATGAAATCAGATTAACAGCCTAGTAAATAAGAGAAAATGTTGTTATCGGTGGATCAACAATAAATTGGTAAAATTAAATGCAAGAATACAATGATATTAGATGAAAGCCCTTAATCATTTTAGATCGCCGACATAAAACCTCGGGTGGTGATGAAATCACCTGCCTTATAAATTATGTTAATCGAAATAAAATTACAAGTGCTAGTTGATCTTGATGTAAGTGTAAAAGTGCTCAAGTGCCAAGAGAATGAGAGTGAGAGTAAAGGTCAAAGTGTGTGTGTGCAAATGATGATCAACTAGACTTTTTATACATAATGATAATAACAAATATTCTAACATTCTAAGGATCTTTCTCGATCCATGTTTGACCCAGTTTTTTCGATAGTTTTCAATTTTCACAAGGCTTTGACCACATGCTTTTGACCTAGATTGTTCCTTTCTAATCAAGTTTATAGTTCCTACATAAGATGTTACAAGAAACACGATGACAGACCAATATATTGCCTAAATCCAAGATCTTAGGCTTGTGCGGGATGTTAGTACTAGTTAAATGGTAATATGGAAATTCTACCCATAACATGACGCACGCACCGCATTGCATAATATGATCATAAAAGATGAGGGGAAGGCGATTTGTAGCTACATTGAAAATGAAAATTAGCCAAATATCGAAGGAATACGCATTGGTATGCCAACGTACATGGTGAATAGAAGAGAAGTATATGATCAAATTGGACAACACAACCTTCACGCCGACTCAATGGAATACATCTGCAATGCTCAAGTAAATCCCGTTGTCAATGATTTTGAAGCCGACTTCGATGATACAGATGACGAATCAGATATGTTTGCAGATAATTCGAATGAGAATTATGATGATGTAACAATCTACAATGATTATTATGATTAGGCGGCACGTACTATTTTACCATGTTTGGATTTTTTTTTTTTTATGTTTTTAATTTAATATGTATTTTTTTTAATTAACGAAGTACATCTCTTTTATTAATTTTATATAATTATATTTTATCAAATTAAATTTTATTCAATTAAAAAAAAGATTAAAAGAAATAGTCATAAACCATCTTACATTAACTAACTTTCTATTACAGAACTATTTACATGATACCTGCTCAATCATAAACCCAAAACACGAAATCATCTTCATTTATTATTCTCAAAAACTCATACGCATACAAAACAGTGTTCCTACAGAAAAACTAAGTTACAACCACATTTGAAACAAAACACTCCTACAGATTCACACCATTGATCAAGCTTTCCAAGATGACAATGGAGGAGTCTCGGAATCCTTATATGTTCCAATTCCAGCACCATATCTCTCCCCCTTCACTGAATCAGCTGAAGCAATAGCTTCAAGTTCAGCCATGTCTTCTGGTGTTAGCTTTAGAGATAAAGCTCCAATGTTCTGTTCAAGATTCTCAATCTTTGTAGTTCCTGGAATTGGCACCACATCATTTCCCTGGTGGTGAACCCAAGCCAATGCTAGCTGTGATGGGGTGCACCCCTTCTTAGCTGCCATCTCATTCACCCTCTCGAACATTCTCGTGTTGTGCTCAATATTTTCAGCTTGGAACCTCGGCAGATACTAAAAATATGAAATTTGAAATTGAAAATGAGTGATCATAATGAAAATATAGAGAAAAGGGTAAACTAAGACTTTAACAGACCTTACGAAAGTCACCATCTTCCAACTTCTCGACCATCTTTGGGCCAGATGTGAAGAACCCACGTCCAAGAGGACTGTATACAACAATCCCAATCCCAAGTTCTCTGATAAAGTATGATATACAGAGCTTAAAGATTGGATCTTGGATTCATGGTTATTGATGAATTAAAAAATGGATAGAAAAAGGAAGCTAATTAACCTGCAAGTAGGAATGATATCTTCTTCAACATCTCTTGACCACAACGACCATTCCAGTTGTATGGCTGTTAATGGATGCACAGCGTGGGCTCTTCTGATGGTTGATGATGATGCTTCTGATAATCCAACGTATTTGATCTTTCCTTCTTCCACCAGCTCTTTTAGTGCTCCCATCTACGAAGAGAAGTAGAACATTTGAGGAGATGGATACGAGAATTCGAGTTATGAACAGAAGGAATTGAAAAAAGGATCGTGTAAGGAGGAAGAAATTTACTGTGATTTCGATTGGCAAACGAGTGTCAATCCTGTGTTGAAAATACAGATCGATACAATCGACGCCAAGTCGCTCCAAGCTACCTTCACAAGCAGCTCTTACATACTCCGGATCTCCGCAGTACCCCCTCGCTCCATTCACTTCTCTGATCCCAAATTTGGTAGCCAACTCCACTTTCTCCTTAATTCCTCCCTGCAAAGCCTGCGATTACAAAACTGGGTGTTAATCGAACCCTAAATTCACTCGATCAAAAAAGGTAAAGACCCTCACTGCTCTATAACTAATTGGCACCGACAATTGATCAAGGATCGATCTAACTAGTAGAAGAATGTTACCTTGCCGAGAAGGATTTCATTGGTTTTAGGGCCGTAGATGTCGGAGGTGTCGAGGAAGGTAACGCCGGCGTTAATGGCGTGGTGGATGAGATTGATCATGTCAGGTTCAGGTTTTGGGGCTCCATAGAAAGCGGACATGCCCATACAACCCAAACCTTGAGCTGATACCTCTAAACCCTGTGAACCCAATTTGACTCTTCGAATTCCTGCCATTTTCGAGCTTTGTTCTTCTTCTACGGAGTGATTGATGAAAGCAACCCTCGCAGATGACTTCATATAGGGACTGAGAAGTGACAAGTGTTGAGTTAGGTAGCAATTCCATGACGAGGAATCTCAGGTCAAACAATGACAGACAATGACGATAGGTAGACGCAAGTGCCGACGTAATTAACGTTTCAACAGTAAAATTAAAAAAGAATCTGAATAAATGTTTGTTTTATTCAAAAGGAGAATCCTGAATAAATTGTGAAATCATTCGATCGTATGTTGTTGTCATTGAGAGATGTTATAAAACCAACTTCCAAAAGTTATCCTTCTTCTTTAGGGAATACAATTTAGCTCTTTTTATGAAATAGAAATGATGGTATACAAGTTATCTTCTTCTTTATGGGTTCAATGCTGAAAGCCTCAAAGCAATACACCCAGTGGCGGATCCCTTAAGGGCCATGGCCCCCTGTTTTTTAGCTTTGTAATATTGATTTTTTTATAAATTAATTTGTTACTTAAAGATAATTACTGTATTGGCATCCCTAGATTTTCGAAACACATACCAATTTAAGATTTAAGAATCGATTCCGTGATTATAAGAATATAAACATAAATAAATCAAACATGAAAAAAGAGATAATGCATCCAATAACCGGGTAACTCGCTATTCCGTATAATCGTTGCTTCAAATGGGATCTAGTCGATCACATATCCTCCACTCTTTGCTCTCACTCTGTCGTTCGTCTCCATGGATCTTGTTTACCGCTCACACACTTATAGCCTCCACAATCCTCCACAATCGTCATCTCCGTCTGGTTCTATTTTGCAACCATGGAAGGTCATGCTTTTTGATTTTTGAGTTCAACTTTTGTTCACTTTTCTTCTTTTTGGTTTTGTCCACTAGTATTACTTTTAATTTATTATTTAATTGTATTTGAGAATAATTTTTGGGAAAACTTCCTAGCATCACAATAATACTTGAATTAATTTTTAATTCTTTCTACTAGTCTTCTAGTGTACTGTTTTCATTTTCTTTTAAATGTTGTCAATCTTGAGTGTTGATTAGCATAGTCTTATGTTTATTTTAATTAGTTTTTCAAAATAAATATCTACGATATATGTAATATTTTATTTAATTGTAATTTAATGTTTGTTTTTATATTTATATTAATATTTTTATTATAATATGAAGTTATATAAACTAGAAATGTATCATTTTTCCATTTGGATATCATTCATGAGAGCAAATATATTTTTTTTATAGTGAACTAATAATTATATAGGAAATTACATTGATTAGAGCATGACTTCATCTAGAAAAAAATACATATATTTTTATGTTTTGGCCTCCCTATATATGTTGTTTGTGTTCTCCTTAATAAACCACACTTAGACTCACAACTTTATCCCCTCAAAGCAAAGTTTAGATAGCAGTTCTAGATGTATAATAAACATTATTGTTGATTTTTTAAAGTTTAATACCAATGTTACAGGTTTGTTCAAACTGTAATTGGAATGTAGAAATGGCATTTCATTTTGGCAAATGTCATTCTATTGTTGATTTTTTAAAGTTTAATAACAATTTTACTGGTTTGTTCAAAGTGAAGTTGGGATGTAGAAATGTCATGACAACTGTGTCCAATGAGGGTTTCAAGCCGCACATTGCAGCCGGAGTTTAGGCAATAATTTATATAATATAGCATTTTAGTTTTGTTATAATGTGTGACAAATACAGTTCTATGGTTGGATATATTTTTAAGGTTGTAGTAGGAACCATCAAACGTATTACACATTGAAAAATCTATCCAATTATAACATTGTATTTTAAATTTTTTCTTATTAAGACACTATTTTGTAAAATATCTCCATTATAGCAACAAAGATTGCTTTAAATTTGAATAACATTGTTATAATTAGATAAAATTTTCAAAATACAATATTCCATTAAGAAACAAATAAGATTAACTATTAAATGTGAATCAAAAATACCGATCTCTCATATATATATATATATATATATATATATATATATATATATATATATATATATATATATATATATATATATATAAATAAGTAAATATACATTACAATTTCACCTAAGATTAGGTATTAAATCTCATAGGATTCACGATTAACACTTGAAGATGTGGATTCATGATGTAAACAATAATTTTGATAAAGAAGCAAGAACATTGATTATCTTCGACCTTCGTGATGGTGGAAAACAATAATGTTCACTAGGGTGAAGTAATAAACGATAATGGAAGAATGAAAACAATGATGGTAAAAACGATAATGGAGTGAAGAAATATTATTGAGGACGATATATTTACCAAATGAAAACAAAATTGAGTTTAATTACTAAGTTAAAACGAAATATTTTAGAGGTTTACTACCTAAGCTTAGGTGGGGCAGTAATGTATATTCCATATCCCTAATATATATATATATATATATATATATATATATATATATATATATATATATATATATATATATATATATACCCGGTTTGGTTTCACTTGGTAAATATATCATCCTCCATAACATTTCTTTCTTTCATTATCATTTTAACATCAATGTTTTCTTTCTTCAATTATCGTTTATTACTTCACCCAAGTGAACATTACTAAACCCTAAACCTAAAATCTAAACCCTAACCCTAAACCCTAAACCCTAAACCTAAACCCTAAACCCTAAACCTAAACCTAAACCTAAACCCTAAACCCTAAACCTTACCGTGTCGATCTTGAATTTACATCTTGAAATATTAATCATGAATCTATGAACCGTAATCTTTATATAGTAAAACAATTTATTTTCAAGAGGTTTATTACCTAAGCTTATGTGGGGCTGTAATATATATTCCCAGTTTTGACCATATGTCTCTAAGCCCACCTGTGTTGCCCAACGGTCGTAATTCTTTTGTACTGTCCTAGTGACACTGATTTTAGTATGAATGCAGGCATGTATATTTAATTAAATATTTTATTATTTAGAGTATAAACTCTTGGTCAGAGTATTTTTAATCCCTTGTGTATTTATAGTTAGTATATTTTTTATGGGTTGATATACTTAATTCACTATAAACAGTGCTCTGATACCAATCTGTCACACCCCAAAACCAAAAACGGCGGAAACGTTCTGGGGCAGAGGACATCATGTACAATATCACAACAATGAAAAGTAGTAAACAAGCAACAACATCATCCATTTCATTAATAATAAAATTATTATACAAGTGTGTTCTGTCAAATTATAATAAACACTAAAGCATAAATCAAAATAAAAGATGAGTCTTGAACAAGCTTCATCTTCTCTAAACCTTGCATTGGTACCTATCTATTGATGACCTGAGGATACAAGTAATTTTGAAAGCAAGTATCAGATTTGAAGCTGGTGAGATCATAAGTATTTTATGATGGGTTTTAGCCATAAGAACATCCTATGTGCTCATGCAACCCTAATGCTTGGATTTAGGTTTCTCTATTGTACATGCTATTCATCCAAGATTTTAAACCCTAGATCTAGTATATGATAATTAATATAGCATATGAATTAGGGTTTAGATCATACCTTGATTGTTATGTAGCAATAACAATCCCAAATCCTTCTTGTAATGACCTTAGAAAGCTTAGAGTCACAAATGTCACTCCTCTAATGGTTCACAAACACCAAGAACAAGAGGATGAAGAAGAGAAGAGAAGGAGACACCCAAAAACTGTCCAAAACCCTAAGGAGTTACTTACCCACGTTTTTGGTGCTCTAGGGATCTTTAAATAGTGAAGCTATTAGGGTTATCAAACAAGGAAACCCTAATTTGGATGCTTAAGCCCTAAGCAACCCATGGACTCCTTCTTAAAGGCCTTAGGACAATTTCTAATGGGTTTCCCCATAGAATTCGTCCACCCCTTTAATATGGAGTCCATTAGATCAATATTCAACTATCATACAATTGACAGTTCAAGTCCCTTAAGTTTAATTAATCTCTTTTAGCCATAAACTTAATTCTTATTAATTCTTGACTAATATTAATTAAACAATATGATTTCTCCTTTAATATATTATTCTCATAATATATTAATAAATCATATTTAATCCTTTCTCTCCATAATTCATCCTATCAAGTTGCTTTGGTGAAGGCAACCCAAAAGGATCATGCACCATCGGGTCAAGTACATACCAATATAGTTATGGACTTAGACACTAATCCAACATTTTAGTGTCTTAATTTGTATGTAAGAATTTGTATGTAAGAATTGTAAGTATTGAAAATGTATGTAAAATAACTGTAAACGTTTGAAAAACTCTAGGAATCCCTATGATTCCTACTATTATAACAGGGAGTCTTCTACTAAGACTTAACTGATCTATATGTAGCCTTCTAGCAAGGCATCTAGTGTCTGTGTGTGTCTCTTGTAAGAGTGTGTATTTTCCCGAGTATAACTATCATTAACCAAAAATATAGTTTCTACATTGTCGTGCATCGTGTGTATGTTCACGAAGTGAATGTAAAGGGTAAAATGAAATAGTACTAAGGTGTAGTGCCGAACTACAACCGTACCAATTACCTTAAGTCTAGGGTAATTCTTCTAAGTACTGTAGCATTTGTAATAAATAACTACATCGGTACTCAACTGCTTTATTTGAGGGATAATGTATAATGTGATGTCTAGATCCTAGGCTATACGCTCCCCTATCAAAGGGATTTTGAGACCTACCCACGACCCCTGCATGTATGCAAGCCGTGAGCATCCACATTACTATGATCATGTATACTCGATATAACTATCACAATTGCGTTGTGATTTATCGGTATAGTCAGATCCTGAACTGGTTCCATGCTACAGCACCTAGTGACGTCTGTTATATGTATATGTAAGTGTACTCATGTAAGTGTGATCATGTAAACACATCTATCCAATAGTATAGTAATATACTGTAATGTTGTAGCTGTAATGTATGCTCTCTCTATCTAACAAGTATAGTAATGTACTGTAATGTTCTAGTTGTAATGTATGCTCTCTCTATCTAGCAAGTATAGTAATGTACTGTAATGTTCTAGCTGTAATGTATGCTCTCTCTATCTAGCAAGTATGGTAATATACTGTAATGTTATAGAAAGTATTGA